CACAAGTCAGTGGAAGCATTGTGTTCCGGTAGCGGAAGGTCAGAAAGTCACGCGGTTTGCAAGGATAAACGACTCACGTGGCGGGTTCCTGGCACGGTTTGGCTTTTTGCTCGTGGAAGACGTGAGTTTGATTCGCATGGAAGGCGGAGTTTTCGTCGAATTGTTTTATTACCCAAATTGTTTTCTACCTATAACACGAGAATTTGGAGTTGCTTCGTCTGTCAGCTAGAACGTTGTATCTCCCTCAGACCAGGTCTGTTTTTTATAGTAGAGGGTTTTACGGCGCTCGCAACTGCCAAGGCACCCCGGAAGTAGCAGGTCACAAGGGAGTGACAAACATACAAAAGAAGTAGAGGAAAATGACAATAGTAAGGAAATAAAAAGCAGTAGTTCCCTGTTGTAGATCAGGCACAGTTATGAGCGTGACATGAATCAGCCCATTTACTATTCTACTGTGCTTGAACGAGAAATGTCCCCCCTTTGGGAATGGCCTAAAGACACTACAGTCAGTGGCACTGCCCCGGGGGGAAAGACCAGGTCTGTACTGACAGAGCTGTGAATGATGAATCGTTGTCATCATGAGCTCTCCGTGACATACTTCCCACCTCTCGATCTTCCGTTAGCTCACTGACCTGAGGAGAAAACAAATGTCCCTGTTCTGTAAGGCCGGGGAAGGAAAAATCCGCACCCCGATTGGGTCCCAACCCAAAAACCCCTCGCTTGTTGACTTGTTAGAAAACTTACAGACAGTGCCTTAGTTGTCGAAGTGATTGTAAATGTTATTTCACGTGTTCCTCGCCTCTATCAACAATATTTAGATCTGTAAGGAGGCGGGTTGCTTTTTACCCTGCCTGTCAAGGCAAATCTCGGCAGAATGGAATATAACATCCGAGCAGATAGGCACAGCTCCTCGGTTATTAATTTTTTAAAAAGCAAAACAAAACAAAACAAAAAAACAAACCCAAACCCATTCCCCATTCTAGAACCGAACCCACGTCTTTTGGGTCCGGTAGTGAAGAGTCAAACCTGGCACTTCCTCGTAGCCGAACGAGAACAATTCCAACCGTTGTCAGGTCCGAACCCCAACCA